ATACGAGAGAAATTGAAGAGGACACAAAGAATTGGCAAAACATTCCATGCTCATGGATTGGAAGAACAAATACTGTTAAAATTTATATACTACCCAAAGCAATCTGCACATGTAATACAATCCCTATCAAAATGCCACCAGCATTTTTCACAGAGCTAGAACAAACAATCTTAAAATTTGTATGGAACCACAAAAAACCAAACAGCCAAAGCAATTTTGATAACCACAAAGCTGAAGGCATCACAATTCTGGGTTTTACGCTGTATTACAAAGCTGTAATCATCAAGACAGTATGGTGCTGGCACAAAAACAGACAACGGATCAGTGGAACTGAAAAGAAAACCCAGAAATGGACCTACAACTGTACGGTCAACTGCCATCTTCGACAAAGCAGGGAAAACTATCCAGTGGAAACAAGACGGTCTGTTCAAATAGTATTGGAAAAACTGGACAGCAACATGCAGAAGAATGAAACTCGACCACTTTCTTTTTTTTTTTTTAATGTTTTATTTATTTCTAGGAGAGAGAGAGAGAGAGCATGAGCAGGGGAGGGCCAGAGAGAGAGGGAGTCACAGACTGAAACAGGCTCCAGGCTCCAGGCTCTGAGCTGGCAGTGAGCACAGAGCCCGACGCGGGGCTCGAACCCACGAACCGCAAGATCATGACCTAAGCGAAAGTCAGACGCTTAACCGACTAAGCCACCCAGGCGCCCCCCCCTTTTTTTTTTTTAACGAAAACTCTACCACTTTCTAACATGATGGACCAAAAAAATTAGAAATGGATGAAAGATCTAAATGTAAGACAGAAAACCATCAAAATCCTGCAGGAGAACACAGGCAGCCATCTCTTTGACCTCAGCCATAGCAGCTTCTAACTAGATAAGTCTCTTGTTGGCAAGGGAAACAAAACCAAAAATGAACTCTCTGAACTTCATGAATATAAAAAGCTTCCGTGCAGATAAGGAAACCATCAACAAAACTGAAAGGCAACTGATAGAAGGAGAGAAGGTGTTTGCAGATGACATATCGGATAAAGCGTTAGTATCCAAAATCTGTAAAGAACTTAATCAAACTTAACACCCCAAAAATAGATAATCCAGACAAGAAGTGGGCAGAAGACATGAATAGATAATTTTTCAAAGAAGACATCTAGATGGCAAAGAGACACAAAAAGATGCTCAACGTCACTCATCAGGGAAATGCAAATCAAAACTACAATGAGATAACCTGTCAGAATGGCTAAAATAAAAAACACAAGAAACAATAGGTGTTGGCAGGGATGTGGAGAAAAAGGAACTCTCTTGCACTGTTGGGGGGAATGCATGCAAACTGGTGCAGACACTCTGGAAAACAGAATAGAGGTTCCTCAGAAAGTTAAAAATAGAACCACCCTACAACCTAGCAATTACACTACTAGGTATATACCCAAAGGATAAAAATGCAGATTTGAAGGGCACATCCATCCTGATGTTTAGAGCAGCATTATCAAGAATAGCCAAACTATAGAAAGAGCCCAAGTGTCCCATCAACTAATGAATGGATAAAGATGTGGTATATGTATATATATATATATATATATATATATATATATACACAATGGAATGTTACTCAGCCATCAAAAAGAATGAAATCTTGGGGTGCCTGGGTGGCTTGGTTGAGCCCAACTCATGGTTTCAGCTCATGTCATGATCTCCGAGTTCATGGGATTGAGCCCTGCTGTTCGCACAGAGACTGCTTGGGACGCGCTCTCGCTCTCCCTCCTCCCGCTCCCTCCCCTACTTCCACTTTCTCAAAATAAATACACTTTTTAAAAAAGGATGAAATCTTGATATTGCAATGATGTAGATGGAACTAGAGTATAAATACTATATGATTTCATTAATGTGGAATTTACGAAAACGGATGAACGTAGAGAAAAGAAAAAAGGAAGCAAACCATAAGAGACTCTTAATTACAGAGAACTGAGGGTTGATGGAAGGAGGGTGGGTAGGGGGGTGGGCTAAGTGGGTGATGGCGATTAAGGAGGAGGGCACTTGGGATGAACGCTGAGTGTTATGTGTGAATGACAAGTCACTAAATTCTACACGCGAAACCAATTTAACCATATATGTTACCTAACTAGAATTTAAATAAAATCTTAGGGGGAAAAAGTATTATGAGCAACTAAATGCAGTGAATAACCTAAAAGAATAGACAAATTCCTAGAAACAAAACCTACTCTACCAAGACTCAATTACAAAGAAATAGGAAATCTGAAAAGATCTGAATAGACCCACAATTAGTTAAAGGTCAGAGTTTTGTGAGCTCGAGAGAAACCAAAAATATAGAGCTCTAATTACCAACGAGTTTCAATCAGTAATCAACAATCTCCCAACAAATAAAAGCACTCATGGCTTCCCTGGTGTATTTTATCAAAAATTTGATAAACTGATACCATTTCTCAAATTTTTTCCTACAATTAGAAAAGAGCACTCAATTCATTCTGTGAGGCTAGCATTATTCTGATTCTAAAACCAAAGACCTTACCAAAAAGAAGTTACAGATCAATATTAATTATGAACATTGATCAAAAATCCTCTCAAAATACTAAAAAACTAAACCCAGAGCATATTAAAAGTCATGCACCATGACCAAATGGGATTTATTCCTAGAGGGAAGAGTGCTTCAACATAGAAAATTGGTCAGTGTAATATACTGCCATAACAGAATGAAGAGGAAAAATCTCTACTCTGTTGAAATAATAACACCCAGATCAAAAACTGTCTGTTGATTGAACAAATGAATGAACTAATGAGAAGGTAAATGAGGGAGCTATGGAGGAAACTTTTGCTCTATACCCTTGGTGGTTGCTTAGGTGTGAACTTGTATATGAAATCCTGGAAATTTTGAGCTGTGGGACCTTCCTAAATGCATTCTTTTTTGTTCTTAAAGAAATGTGTACAGTTGCTGTTACATGAAAACAGGATTCAGTGCACCCAATAGTTAAAATGTTACTAGGTTGTTTTTTTTTTACTATAAAAAACTTAACAAATATTTTTCAGATTTCTTGTCACATTTATGATGACACTCCTAATAAGTTAGTCATAGCCATTAAAAAGAGAAATGAAAGAAAACAGATTTGAAAAGCACAGGTTCCCTCTCTGTCATCCAAAATTGTTAGCTGAGGTTTCGCTATTCAAACCCAGGAATCAAATTAGAAATGCGAATTAAATCAAAACTAGTGAACATTAGACAGTACTGGGTATTAGTGAGGGCGTTGGAAAATAGATGTAGGAGGAATATAATCGGACACATGTATTAATTATCTTTTGTTGCAGATAAATCATCCTAAATGTTAGTGATTTAAAGCAACAAATTATTATCTCACAGTTTCTGTGGGTCAGGAATCCTGGCACAGCTTGTCTGGGTCCTCTGACTCTGTGCCTCTCTCGACTCACTGTGGGCTGCAGTCAAAGCGAGATTCATCCAGGGAAGAATCCACTTTAAAGCTTCACTTACCATGGCTCTTTGTGGGCATCAGGTCCTTCCCAACTTTGACCAGAGACACCGGTTCCTGCCATGTGAACCTCTCCATAGGGTAGCACATGACACAGCAGCTATCATCCCTCAGAGGGAGTGAGGGAGAGGGAGAAACAGCTGGCAAGATGGAAGTCACCATCTTTGTAACTTAATCTCGAAAGTGACGTCCCCCTCCTTTTGCCATGTTCTGTCTGTTAGAAGTGGGTCACTAAGTCCAGCACACTCATGGGGAAGATCACATAGAAGAGTGATTACCACAAGGCAGCTGGAAACCAGTTAGAGGCTACCTACTAAACACCTATCTCCCTCAACACAGGAATCCTACTTTTTTAAATACTTCAGAAACTCATAATATTTACACAGGATATGCATTCATTGATTTTTTTCTTGTAAAATAAAATTTGTAAAAATAAAATTGTTGGAGAAAATCCCAAATTAAAGAGGAATGTATGAATAAATCACTGTATAAGTATTTAATGTGATACTTGACAATTAAAATGAGTGAACTAGTTCTGGGGCTCGGCTGGCTGGCTCAGTCGGAAGAGCATGTGACCCTTGATCTCAGGGTCGTGAGTTCGAGCCCCATGTTGGGTGTCGAGATTCCTTAAAAATAAATAAATAAGTACTTAAAAAAAATGAGTGAACCAGTTAATTGGCTAAATTTTGAAAACGATGACTGATGGAAGCAAATTGTAGGAAGATACAGCATGTTACTATTTATGTGAAACTTACAAACGTAGAAGAGTACCATATGTTTTTATGGATATACATGTGTAAAACGTTCTGTAAGGATGATCACATTTTAATGCAGTGAATAACTTTTAGATGGGAAGGGAATGTTAAATGAAGCAACTTGTTAAATCTGAGTGGTGACTGCATGGGTTTCTAAGGTGATACTCTTGATTTTTCTGTATGTTTAAAGCTTTTGAATATACATATTTCATAGACTCCCACTTGGAAAAATTGGGAATAACTTGATTGTTTTTTAACATCTTAGTTTAAAAGACATTCAACAGACAAAACCAAAGAAAATCATGTGCTAAATGCCTATCTTGCAGTTTCAACGGTCATCAACACATCATCAGTCTTCTGGTTGTGTCTGTACTCCCTTACTTCCTCAAGGATTGTTCTGAATATATATAATATTATTTCATCTATAAGAAATACTTGAGAATATATTTTTAAATGAATATGCTTTAACAAGACACATAACCATGCCGACATGGTTCTATAATCGTCTTTTTTAAAGCTGACTTTGGCTCCTTAAGAACAATCCTGTATCTAAACAGCCAGAATTCCCCCATTGTTTCATAAATGGCAAACAACTGGTGTCTAATTTATAACAGAGAGCCGAACAAGATTCTTTTCTCTTCTTCCCAGCCTTTCTTGCTTTCTAGAGGAACTTGGAGAGCTATTACTCCAGGATGAAAAGAGGCCAGCGGCCAGTAGGGTGCTAACCTTTCTTTGTGTTCTCTCGCACAGATACAGTTGGTCCCACCTGGACAGATCCAGATCCAGGGTGGGCAGGCCGTGCAGGTGCAAGGCCAGCAGGGCCAGGCCCAGCAGATCATCATCCAGCAGCCCCAGACGGCAGTCACTGCTGGCCAGACCCAGGTAACTCCATTCTCTCCGTCAACGCGGGGGCGCAGCCGACTTGGAAGGGCCAGACAGCTGAGCCAAATAGTTCATAGGGAGTCAGTAAAAATGGGGACGGAAACCATCACAGATGCTCTCTTCTCTTCTCTTCTCTTCTCTTCTCTTCTTGTCTTTTTTTTTAAAAAGAAGGGGTCCTTTGTTAAACTCTCCTGATTTATTTCCTTCAGACCCAGCAGCAGATTGCCGTCCAGGGGCAGCAGGTGGCTCAGACTGCTGAAGGCCAGACCATTGTCTATCAGCCAGTTAATGCAGACGGCACCATTCTGCAGCAAGGTAAGCAGCATCTGCACTTCCAGAGCACTTGGGAGAGCATATCTTTCCCGTCCTTGGAGCAAATGACTACTTCAGAAATTTTATGGTGCTCTCTACCTAACGTAGTTTTGAACAACAAAAATGTTTTCTAGCTTTCCATTGGTGGATGTTTTCTTCTCATTGATATGTGACCAGCGATGGTAACATTTGTAGGAGTCCCTACAGTGGTTGTTAAAAAGACTGGTCCTGGGGATTATATCGGCTTTTGATCCTTTCTGGGGAAAAAACAATGTTTCTAAGTGGTAGATTGGAAAGAGAGGGTTTCATAGTTGGTAGTGGAAGAAATAGATCAGAGGTCAAGTTGGTATGTAGTGTTTTTGCTACTTACGGTTTTTTTCTTTTCTCCCTGGCTCACTTTATTAGTTTTTGCCCAAAAGACCTACATGCCTACTGTGCTTACTTTACTAAGAAAGAAATTTTCTGGGGCACCTGGGTGGCTCAGTCGATTAAGCATCCGACTCTGACTCCAGTCATGATTTCATGACTTGGGAGTTCGAGCCCCACATCAGGCTCTGTACTGACAGCTCAGAGCCGGGAGCCTGCTTCTGTGTCTCCCTCTTTCTCTGCCTCTTCCCTGCTCACACACTCTCTCTTTCTCTCTCTGAAAAATAAACAATTAAAATTTTGAAAAAAAATGTTTTCCCAAGGAGCCTCTAAATCTATTCAGGGAGACACGCATGTGACTAAACACAGTGCAAAGCCTTTATAGAGCTATGTTCTAGGACTAGATAATGCCTAAATACAGGAGCCATGACCTCTGGCTTGGGAGGAGAATGAACTTGAGAGAAGAGGAGGTGGCTCAAACTGAACTTGAGAGCTTTGGGAAGCATCTATCAGGTCATTAAACCTGGAAGGGACATGTCAGAGTCTAGGACTAAACATCTGACTTGTAATGGGAATTTAGCAGTGTACAAGATCCAGTGAGTGCAGGAGGTATGCTCTCCTTTGACTCAAGAGAAGGCCCGAACTGGATTGAGCCCGGGCCAGAGCTCAAACTGAAAATGGTGAGCTAAATCCTTAAGTGGTGCTGGTGATAGTATGGGAGCATGGAGTGCTTGGTTTAATTTTTAAGTTTTAGTTTTGCAGCAGGTTCGGCCATTGTCAGGATAAACACATTAGAAATTTATAAAATCTCCATCCTGAGGCAGATCGTTCATATATACAAAAACAGTGAGTGTAGCACAAGTCAGACCTCCTCGCAGAAGGGAAGGCCTCCAAACTGTCTCACCGGCCATTGAAAACCATTACTGGAATACCCAGGGGGAAGTACCCATTTCAAGAAAAATTTTATCAGAACTGGAACCCAGACAGTTACCAGAATATCTAAGATCATGATTACTTGGATTCCGTACAGCAGAGCGGGCAGAGAGTGGGAGAGTGCTGCTCCTCCCCTTGTGCTGTTAGGATATTTCTCCAGGGTAAGTAAGTGTGTGCCAGGTAGAAGAGGGACTAACTGTGTTCCCTTCTTTCTGTGTGCCTGTTTTTTGTTTGTTTTGTGTTTTATTTTCTTAAAGTCACAGTCCCTGTTTCAGGCATGATCACCATCCCAGCAGCCAGTTTGGCAGGAGCACAGATTGTCCAGACAGGAGCCAACACCAACACCACCAGCAGCGGACAGGGGACTGTCACTGTGACACTACCAGTGGCAGGCAATGTGGTCAATTCAGGAGGGATGGTCATGGTAAGAAAACTGATTCTTCACCTTGCTGTTCTTCCGTCATTTATCTTTCCATTTGTCTCTTTGTCATTGAAAATTTTTTTGAACTTGCACTTTGATGTCTCTCATAAAGCTTGTTGATGATGCTGACTGCTTAGGATTCAATTGATCCTTAAGGCACTTTCACAAGAAACATTACAATGACTATAATTCATTCTGAGCACCTACTTTGTCCTGGGGACTATTCCAGGTGCTGGAGATACAGCAGAGGATAAACAGAAATAACTACTTTTGTGTAATCTTCAGAATTCAAATAATGAAGGCATAGACTATTGACTTTTGGAAAGTGGAGAATACATTGCCCCCAGTGAGGGAAATAACAAGTAAACTCAAAATTAGATTGTAATCAGTAAAGAAACCAAAAATACATGATGAAGACAGGGAAGGAGAAATGAGTAGTGGTGTGAGTGAAAGCTAAATTCTCCTGTCCTAATAGGATGTCAATTACACGGTACCTAAAATGGGTAAATTAAGAATGAGTAGTAGAAGCCTGCAGAGAGATGGAGGAAGCTACCAGAAGAAACCACACACATCCGTCAAAGTCGTTATAGTTCGGAAGGGAGTAGGGCATGGGAACCTGTTCCTGGTTTCCTCAGGCATTTAGTACAGTGTTTTTAGTTTTAGTTTGTTTAGAAAAATTAGGATTTAATTATATACTAAGTTAAGTCATTAATTAAATTATTTCTGTAACTGTGGGCATTTGGTAGCTCTTGGCCAATCTCTCCATGCCTACTTAACCTTTTACTGTTTCATTCTCTGTAATTACTATTCCTGACCATTAGATGGCAGCAGACATTTCTAGAAAATGGCACCATAGGTGGACAAGAATCTGGACATAGTCATGTCCTTGTCAAGTGTGGCTGACACTGGGCTCCCTATGACAGAATCATCTGGAATGTTTAAAATGCAGACCTTTTAGTGTAAATGTTCTCCAAGAATCTGCATTTAAGTGCTGTATAAAAGCTACTCTTCATAGCATTTAGAAAAAATTTAACAGGGACCAAGAAACGGTTTCCTATGTCCGTACTACATGCCACTGTTTAATAAGCTGTGGTTTTCTCTTCACACAGATGGTGCCTGGTGCTGGCTCTGTGCCTGCTATCCAAAGAATCCCTCTTCCTGGGGCAGAGATGCTGGAAGAAGAGCCTCTCTATGTGAATGCCAAACAGTACCACCGTATACTGAAGAGGAGGCAAGCCCGGGCTAAACTAGAGGCCGAAGGGAAAATCCCAAAGGAAAGAAGGGTGTGTATAACACTGGGAGGGAGAAGGAAGAGAAAGGGCAGGGTTTTCCCTTTGAAATTACCTTTTATATGGTTTGTTTCCTTGAGTACTTTGCAAACAAAAGTAAATATCTTTGATCTTCTGTAAAAGTTAGCATGTGTCATTGCTCTGTGTGGCTGCAAGTAGATTAATAAAACAGTAACAGTGGGTTAAGTAAGAATTAATTATTTCCTTACAGAAATTTAGTCCAGAGAGAAATTGCCCTGGGCCCATAGCAAATTTCCATAGTCATTCCTCACTACGCCCTCTCTTCCTTTTTCACTGTTGTGATACACTTAGTGTGCTAGTACTAGTCCAGGATGACTGCTTGGACTACAGCCTAGGAGCAAAGGGAACCAGAAAGGTACTCTCATTTTTTATTTTTTGTTTGTTTATTTTGAGAGAAGGAGAAGGGGGGATTTTAAGCAGGCTTCACGCCCAGCGTGGAACCCAGTGTGGGGCTACATCCCGTGACCATGAGACCATGACTTGAGCTGAAACCAAGAGTCAGACGCTCAACTGACTGAGCCACCCAGGAGCCCTGTGGAAAGGCACCCTTTTTAAAGGAAATTTTGAAGAAGCTCCACACATCTCATTAGCCAAAACTTAATTACGTGGCCACATTTAACTGTGAATAAGGTCAGGAAATGCAGTCTTTCTACTGAACAGCCATTTGGTCTGTTATTGAAGTGTGTATGGGGAGGTGTAGGTAGTGATCGTTGCTACGCCTTTGGGGAATTGTTTATTTATCATTCATGCAGCATTCACACTTTTATGACAGTTAATCTATAGTTTGCTGCTGCCTAGTGTTTCCTCCAAAGCTTCCTCCATAATTCAAGGTCATAATTGCCCGGTGACTCTCATGGCAGCTGTCCTGAACTTCAGAGGATAGAATGTGTGCATTAGGTAATTATGCTCATTCCAACTAGTACCTTTATTTCTCTTGTTTTAGAAATACCTCCATGAGTCTCGGCACCGTCACGCCATGGCTCGGAAGCGGGGTGAAGGTGGGCGGTTTTTCTCTCCAAAGGAAAAGGATAGTCCCCATATGCAGGTAAGTAGATTATACATTTCATTCTTCTCTTTTACCTTAGATTTTCTTGGGAGGACCATTCACAGTGTCTTCTTCTTATTTTCACATCAGAGACTAATTACATGTTCTACATTGAATGCCACATTGTGTCTCTTAGATTCTCTTTTGCCTTAGAGCACTAAAGGTGTTTAAACCAGTAGTCTTTTTTCTCCTGATCTTTGAGGATTATTACTATTAATTCCTTCTTGCAATTCTCATTTTCCTTGGTTTTAAAAGAATAAGTTTTATTGCCTCTTAGTGTAGTAGCACAGCCACCAGCAGCTAACACTTAACTGCTATGTGCCAGCCATTACATTAAGCACTTGTATAAGCAGTTTTTATTTCATTGAATCTTTTAGAGCAACCTCAAGCCCCATGAGGTGAGAATTCTTATTTCCATTTTACAGCTGAATCTGAGGTTGAGAGAGGTTAAGTAGTTTGCCCAAGGTAAAATACTTAATAAAATGGTGCACCTTAAATTCAAAGGCAATATAATTCCAGAATTTAATTTGTAACTGATGTATTACATCTGATTCCACTGATTGTATCTCCTCGGCATTTCTGAATCAGTATATACAAAATAGAACTCTTGATTTTTATTTTGTTTTTTATCCCTAAAGCAGTTACTCTTCTCAGTAGGTCACATGTCCGTCCACCTAGTTGCTAAAGCTTGAATTGTCCAATTCTTCAAAAAGTCCTCTTGGTTTTACCTCTAAACTACTACCTGAATCAATTAACTTTTTTTTTTCCTTTCCAACTGCTGTCAGCGTTGAGAAATCCTCTCTTCTTTTGCTTCAGTTAATGTAACAGCTACCTGCTGGTCTCCTCCCTTCTTTTGACCTTGTGCCCTTCTGGTCCATTCTTTACATCTTTGTGTGGTCTTAAAATGGGTGTCATCTCCCATCACTTCCCTGCTTAAATGCCTTCTACCTTCTGCCGTTTCCCATTTGCACTTGGAATAAAATCCAAAGTGCATACCACGGCCAAAAAAGGTGCTTGCGTGGTCCAGCTTCACACCTTCTGCACTTGATCTTTATGCTCTCGCTGTACAGTTCATTGGTCTGCCTCCTGCCATAGGAACTTTGTCTTGAAAATAGCTAATCTGTAAAGCATTTCATTCCTATCATTTGTTTTTTTGTATTTTTAATGTTTATTTATTTTTCAGAGAGGGAAGTAGAGAGCAAGCAGGGGAGGGGCAGAAATCAGGGGAGACAGAATCCCAAGCAGGCTCTATGTCGTCAGCACAGAGACCAATGCAGGGCTCCAACTCACAAACCGTGACATCATGACCTGAGCCAAAGCCAAGAGTCAGCCGTCTAACTAAGCGAGCCACCCAGGCGCCCCTTCACTCCCATCTTGCATGACTGTCTCTTTCTTACGTTTTAGGTCTTGGTTTAAATCTGAGACTGGATCCAGGGAAGGTTTCTTCTGCCCTGTTATTTTTTCATGTCTTCCTTTTCTTTTGAGCATCATTGTAATTGACTTATTTGTGTAGTTGTCTCGTTCACTAGACTGTAAGCTGTGTAGAGAGTCAAGGTGAGGTTTCTCCTCCATTGTATTGATTGGACTTAGCATAATGCCCAATTACACTTGGTAAATGTTTGTCGAATTAATGGATTGCCCCCACCCAGACCCCATTTCCAGACACTTTATTCTGTGTGACCATCACATCCTACCTGCATTGTTGCCAAATTGGTCTTTGTAAAGTAGTGCTTTTTTAAGCATGTCAATCCCCTGCTCAAGGATGCATGCTGGCTTTCATTTCTTACTGCATCAGATCCCAAACTGTTTCTGTATTTCTTCCAAGCAACTTGGCCTCATCACCCCTTTCAGTGTCAGACTGGGAGTCCTCAGTATTTCCACACATGAGCACAGACTCCTCCTTCAGCGCTGTTAATTCCTACTTGCAGTCTGAGAGCTCCTTCTTCCTCCTCTTTAGTTCATGCAGTGTATGGATGTAGAGTGCCATCTAGAGACATTATGCCAGGAACTCTCCCGATTCTGTGTACTAGCGGTAAGACCTTGGTCAAGTTTCTTAGCCTCTTTTGTCCTAGTTCCTTCACCTGTAAATTAGGATGGTGTTGATACTTCATAGGGCTGTTGTAGAGAGTACATGCAGTCCGTTACATTGGGTGCCTACTTAGCACATCCCCTCGTGATGGTGAGGGCTCCGTAAATGCTGGTTATTTTTCTTACTCATTTTTCCAGAGTAAAATATATACATATATATATGTATATATATACATATATAGTCCATATATGTAGACTTAGATGTATTAGGGGCCTCTGGTTTACTTCGCGAAGTTTTATATATTCCCATGATGATCAGGAGTGAGAGCCATGAGTTCCCTGTTGCTTTCACAAAGGACTTTAATCACTGTTATGCTTTGTCTCTAGGATCCAAACCAAGCAGATGAAGAAGCAATGACACAGATCATCCGAGTGTCCTAACCTCAGGCCCCTTGAGGGAGCAGATCAAGGTCATGTTCCTCGCCACTGTTTCCCACCGTTCCAGGAAATTGATCACCTCTTCCGATGGGACACTGACTATTATGTTCTGCCCTTTTCTACAGGACAGAAACCACTTAGTTTTTAATAAGTGGCTCAGTATTATAATTGCAGCGGGGTCTGGCAAATTGAAGTCGCAAGCCTTTGTCAGGGCCTATTTCAGACTGTTGATGACATTGACATTTCATGGATTAGGATGATGCAAGGGACCCGTGCATATAAGTGCACACACAACACTTATGTCGGCTAGTGAAGCCAGCCAGCCATTTTAGCGGAGGAGAACCTTCCCCACCAGGACTGCAGTCAGGGAAGCTGAAGTCCACGCCTTCCCATGGAACTGAAGCAGCATCCGTCTCTCTGATGGGGGATCTCAGGCTGACTAACCGAATGGACACTTTGTATTCAGAGGCGGCTTCCAGGCAAGGAAGTTCCCTCTCGTGATATGGAAACAATAAATTCTCTGAGATACATTCATCTAATCTGTGGTATTAATAGGAATCTCTTTCTACCCAGATGGTAGGTTGGTATTTTTGGACTCCAGCCAAGAAAAAGCTAACTCTGGGGATAGAACGACAAGACTCAAGCACTAAATCTATAAATTGCTGACTCTCTCTTTTCTTTTAAGCTTTGACTTTAAAGTTGTGGTCTGTCAACAGATCATGTGGACCATAGTTCTTGCTTCCGCTACTTTTAAGACAACATAGAGGGTACTGGATCTTGAAACTGCCTTTCCTAAGTAGAGAACAAAACCATAAAACAACCTCTCTGCTGAAGTGCTGAGGACATTTGTAGTAACTCCTAAACAGAGAGCCAAACTAGAGATTTTCAGTCATAGGCTTTGCGGCAGCATTTGGTGCATAGAAGGGTTCACATGTGTTTCAGTCTAGCAGCAGAAGAGAGGGCAGGATATATACCCATGTGTTGTCACATAGCATGATTCTCCAGCGGATGGATGCCTGGGATGAATTATGAAAAAAATAACTTGCATTTCTGCTATCACGCATGGAAAGGGAGAAATCCAAGAACTGGTCTTTGACAATTCCTGTCTGGAAAGCGCTGTTCAGTCATGCTCTCCTGGGCGTATTCCAGGTTATCCTCTCGAGTTTAAGGTGAATGTTGGCTTCACTCCTGCAGTACTTTGTTTTGTGCTGGCCCCAGAGAGTGAACATTCTCTTTATTCCCTTGGCAGAAGATTCTTTGGTGCCAGTCTCCATGTTGCCCTTTTTCTACATAGGCTTGTCCAGCAGAAAGGTTTTTACATTGCATCCACATTCTGGGGATAAGCTACAGACTGGCAGTAGTGATGGCCTGCAGGGGCGAGAATTGGGTCCTAGAATGGACTGTGCCCCCGAGATTGATTTTTTTTTTTTCCCTAGATGCTGATCCTTGGGGAACTATGATAGGATTTCAGAAAAGTGTTGTTGCCTTCTCTAGAACAAGGAAGACCGAATTGTTTTGAAAAACATTTGGGTCTGGTTTAATGGCAAGAACAAAGATTGGCACTTTCTTTGATTCTACTCTAATTGTATCAAGAAGGAAAAGAAGTTAAACCCTCTGAAGAAAATATCACAAAGGGAAATAATTGTTAATGGTAGAAATAGAGGTGTAGAGCTATGCAAAGAAAGATTCTCCCATGTCCCTGGAATCTAAGTCACCTGTCCTGGCTTCCAGAGATACAGAGAGGCCCACCCTCTGGTAGGCTCACTAGAAATTTCTGGCTCTTAACTTAGGTTTCAGACATTGACTTCATTTAGTAAGTCCCAAGTTTTTCAGATGCTAGTTTACTAAAAATAATGGGGAATTTCTATCCCGTGATTTGTTCAGGGGTCTTTTAGATGCAGAGCTCAGAAAGTCAGACGTCTAAGCCAACAGCAGTTCTAAAATGCTATTTATTTGTGTCTGTAAGTTTGTACATAGTAATATCAACCTCATTGTTGCAGATTCTCTTTTCCATGAGTTTGAGTTTTGCTTTGTTTGAAACAAAATGCTTCAGGTGTCATTTTGTCACTGCTCAGATAGCTCATGGCCCTTCTACTGTGGCCATTTTAGCACACCATAATAAGCCACAAAGTGGGGGGTTGAGGTTTGGACTTTTTTGTTACTGAAAGTTCATTTACTTGTCCCTGTAACTGTAGTGATGACTTCATAGATGCAGAAAGAGTGAATGGATGAGTGAATAATTGGCTTAATACATAGTTATTTCACTTCTTGAGTGCTTTTTGGGGGGGCAAGATAATTGTAAATGTATATATTTTAATTGCACTGGTACATTGAACATGTCAGTGTGTATACCACTGGGCCAACAGAGCTTTTTCTGGCTGTTGGGTGCCTGATGATAATGTCTTGATCTTCCTTTGGGACTTAACTATAAAGGTTTTTCTCCCAGCTGTAAGGGGGAGCACAGATGATCAATCATTGATGTCATTGCAATTGTTATTTTTTAAAATAAATTTGTAAAAATACTAAAAAGTGATTTCAATTTTGACATTGCTTGGGTTCTAGGTTGTGTTTATAATGCCGACATTGTGCTCTTTGTAGACAGACACAGGAGCTCTGGACAGAGTGTCAGACTTCTAGTGTGCAGGCCTCTCAGTTGTTATGTCTCCCCTTAATCTCTTTTTCTTCCCTTTGGCCCTCCACCCTAAGGAGGTATTTTCTGTCACCTGTGTGCTGATCGTATATTTGATTTTACTACTGGAAGTGTTAATCATAATGTGAAGTAACTAGAGGAGCAAAATGAGCCCTTTGAAGTAATCACCGACACGGTTAGGTATTGGAGAACTAAAGATCATGAACACATCATTTTTAGACTTTGTTTTTATTTCTGCAGAAAAACAAGGATGCTTTCCTGATCGTTAAAAATCCACAACACACTCATCCTGTCACTACTGTGAGTCCTCCCAAGAATCTGAGCAACTGAAAGGCAACCTCGGATATGCTACAAAGTCAGGGAAACAGGAGCTCGCTAGAGACACCCAATAGACCTGTCCTGGCAGATAAAAGAAAAAGGAGACACTACCTAACAAGGGGGAAAGGACTGACTGTTAAATAACCTTAGCCTAAGGGTATTAAAAAAAAAAAAGCCCCATAGTTTGTTTGCTTTAGTCAGATGCCAATTGAACATTGCCCTTAGAAATCAGAGGTGAGCCAGCTCTCCACTCTGGTAATAGGAAAAGACACACACACGCACACCCATACCCATTGACACTGCGTGCGGTGATCTGTTTCATTGCAGATGCATCTTCACGTTTCAAGTTTTTTTTTTTTTATGTTTATCTTTGAGAGAATGACAGAACGTGAGTGGGGGAGGGGCAGAGACCGGTAAACACGGAAGCCGAAGGCAGGCTCCAGGCTCTGGGCTAACCGTCCACACAGAGCCTAACGCGGGGCTCGAAGCCGGATGTTTAACCGACTGAGCCACTTAGGCGCCTCACGTTTCAAGACTTTGAAGCGTCACCTTGACTCTTGAAAGTACTTTCACTCCCCGCCCTGCTGCTTCTCCACATCTGGGAGGCAAGAGCTAGAGCGCAGGAGCGGGAGGCACGTGGGGCGGGGCCCCGAGGAAACCCGCATTGATTGGTTAGTGGGAGGAACCCGCCAGGGCCGTCATTGCGGATTGGCTGCCACGTGGAGGACCACCCCCCGCTTCCGGTAGCTTGGCGGGCAACCCCGCCGCCGCCATGGCGACTGGCGAGCGGGCTACGGTGCCCCTTCTGTGGCCCGTAGAGGCCCGGTTGGCGGCGCTGCTTCCCGACCTGCTGGTGTTCAGGAAGCCCCAGGGACCGGAACCCGAGCTCGCCACGGCCCAGGGCGTCCTCCTTGGCGTCCACGTGACGGGTGAGGGGTGGAGCGTCGCTCTCCCGCCTTGTCCGTGGGGCGGCCGTTGGGGACTGGCTCCTAGAGGCGGCGGCGGTTACTGGCTTGACGGCAGGCTAGCAAAGTTGTGCCCCGACTGCTTGCTGCCGCTTCCTCGGGAAACCTGGACGGCCTTTTTCAGAGCGGGGGGGACGCCTTTCGGGATGATCTGGCGGAGTTCTTGAGTTAATGAAAGACCCAGAAAAGGGGAAGGACTTTTGCGAGGTCACACGGCATGCTTTGAATCCATAATTTCTCCCAGCACGCACACTGCTCCTGCCCCTTTTATTCGCTCAGTCAATTCTTCCTTCGAGTCCGTCCATAAATGTGTGCCCGTCACCAAGCTAGGAATTAGAGATCCAGCAGCTACTTTGAGAGTCGTTCATTTAAATATTTATGGCGTTTGTGTCTTGGATCTGAAGATGAGTGATTAAGGTGCTTGCCCTCAAGGAGTTCACCATCTGGGCTCTCCATAAAGCTTTTATCCATCCCCCCATGTCATTGATTTCTTTTATCCTTCACACGGGGAGAAATCCCATTTTCCCCTTGGCCAGAGAGCATAAGAGGGTACGGCAGAAAAGGTATCTGGCTAGAGATGAAAGGGGTGCTTGTGGGCGAGTCTTCATCTGCAGCTCCTGGAAACGCAGAGGGGATGGGTGGCCCTCCAGATATTCCCAGAGGCAACAGCAGCCAGGCTGCCCATGACTGCGTTTTAAGTGACACTTGTTCAAGGATAATGAAATTACTCACCTGCAGGACATCTGCTTCCTTTACACGGACGGGCCTGACGTGCTGAGGGAATAGAGCCAAAAATTCAGCTAACGTAATTTTTGTTTCGTTGGCCAGGGTTTACAGCATTAATGGACAGGTTCAGCCTGACCTGCAAGTCGGAACATGACATGGACAAACTGGCCCGCATCTTCAGTTATTACATTAGTGACATCGTGGAGCGTGAGTGACTATTGTAGGGAAGTGAGGAGGTGTGGTGCTGGGCTCCTGAGGGTTTTTAACAGAAAGCGGCCTGGGCTACTTTAAAAAGTACTGAAGGGTCATTCCTTCAGTGTTACTATCTTTTATTTCTTTTATTTCTTCCTTCTTGCCACTAACAAACTAGATTTTTGCCTGTATCTGCCATTCTACCTAGTCTCACATCCTGTTGACTTGATGGTCAGAAGGGGGAGGTGCGGGGAATACTAATTTTTTAAATTAAATTAAATTTATGTTTTAATATAGTTTATTGTCAAGTTGATTTCCTTAAAACACCCAGTGCTCATCCCAACAAGGGCCCCCTCAGTGCCCATCACCCATTTTCCCCTCTCCCCCACTCCCCATCAACTCTCAGTTCTCAGTATTTAAGAGTCTCTTATGGTTTGCCTCCCTCCCTCTCTGTAACTATTTTTCCCCTTCCCTTCCCCCATAGTCTTCTGTTAAGTTTCTCCTGATCCACAAATGAATTTTAAGTTTTACTTTGCTGTTTATATTTTATTTCAAAATAAAGTATTCCTCTGGTTGTGTCTTCTAACAATAATGCAGTGTGCCCCATATGTTTATAGCAGATGTAATTCACGAAACACCTTCCCATTTTACTGTTACATTTTGATCCTGTGAAGTAGGAATGAGTATCTTCTTCATTTCCTGCCATATATTAAGTTTGTGGAAAATTGCCTAATCTGGGAGAAAAAAAAAAAACAGCTCCTTACATGTGCAGTAAAACATGTTGAGTACATATTCTGTAATATACACTGAAAGGAGCAGGTTTGCAAAAACCTACCCTTGAAGAGCTTTCAGGCTTAATTAGACCTGCCCAACAGAAATTACTCTAGTCCTTTAGTACTTATATAATATTCCCTTCCTTTACTGATAGTACCCATACAGTCACATCTATAATTCTGAGATTTCACCAGAGTACTTACTTTGTAGCATCTCCTTTAGGAACTTGTCTGTTTCACTCACCCCTTACCCCTGAGGAACATTTACAAAAGGTCTTAAGTTTTTCTCATCAGGTTTAGATGAAAGGGAGAGATAGAAATTACATATTATGTATGTATTATAACACCAGGAACTGCTGGTTACTAGAAATACAGGGGAAAATAAGACATGGTACCTGTCCTCTTGGAATTTCCATGTTAGTGGGAGAGACAAATAATAAGTAAACAAGATAACTATAGATTATGTATTTTGCGAGGGAAATAAGTAGGGTGAAATGGTAAAATTGTACAGTGAGAGATTTTCTGTTAGGTAGGGTGGTTATAGGAGCCTCCTCTGAGAAGGTGTTTAAGCTGAGACACAAAGGATTGAGAGGAACACCTTGTCAAGAACAAAGGGTAAAGCACTTCAGGCAGAAGAAAGCCAAGTGTAAAGCTTCTGAGATGGTAGGAAGCTTGCTGTGTTCTAGGAACTAAAGGCCAGTGTGGCTAGAGCATAGCTCAAAGGGAGGAGAGTGGCTTGAGGTAAGATTGGAGATCATTGAGTTCTGTAGACCATAACGACTTGGGATTATATATTTTTGTACAA